CTCCCACATTGGTCTATTACCAAGCAATGAAGTGGCACCATTAGAGAAGTTACTGATCTGCAAATAGAGGTCACCACACAGTAATCATATTCATATTATGATGGAGGAGATGAATGGATGGCAGGAGGAAGAAATGAAGACACAGTAAAATGAAAAGCAGAAGACACAGAAGAGAGGGTGTTTGGAGGTAAAGGCTGTCAGATGTTGATTGTTTTCAAATTCGAAGGTGAACGGATTCATCTTTGATCAGATATGCCTGCTTCACAATAAACACACACACACACACACACACAGCGAAGCACCACGCCAGGCAACCTGGTCCGCAAACTACTGAAGATTTAACTTCTGTATGAACTGAATAATGATTATTGACATGGCCTACATACTACCTCCGTCAACAGCCTTAAATATCATTTCTTTAATTTTACAACAATAACAAAAATGCTGTTTTTATGGATATAATGGTTGAAAAGTATTCATACAGTAACTTTTAATATCGGTGAATGTAGGAAACGTTGCATGCTTTCTATGTTCACTTTAAAATTCCCACAAAATACGCCCCTCTTATTAAGCAGCATTGAACGTCTGGGCAAACCTCAGAGGAATTTAACGTTGAGCATTGTGAAAGAAAATCTGACAAAAGAGAACAAGAGACGTAAGGAAATTGACTAAAGGCGGCAAAATGCACACATGCACAAACCACTGCACTGCTGAGCAGAATATAGAACAGGGGCAAGAAGGAAAGGAAATTGTTATTTCAATAATGCAATACAGAGACCCAATGGGGAAATACTGTAGGTGGATGTGCTGCTGGGAGAATATGATAAACAGAGAGAGAGAGGGATAGATGTACAGATGTGTCCCAGAAGCTAATTTAGTGAGCGTGTCATTTCACACACAGGGAATATTGAACATTCAGACAGTAGACAAAAATCTGATTTAATCAGTCATTGCTTCTTTGTTGCTGTATTCATTTTCTGGTTTCCTTCCTCTCATCCTCTCTCCTACTCTTCCTGTCTTAACACATCTCAAGGTGTCCCCCTGCTCAGCACAAATGTAAAGGACTGTAGGGCACCGGTGTATGCAAACTGTCAGAATTAAGGTGTAACAGTGCCATGTAACATTCATAGGTTGTCAACATTGCCTTAATAACTGTAACACACAAGCAGACAGTCATCAGCACACAGTCATGCACACGTACATGGACTCAGTATACACAGATACAGACAGAGCTACTCACTTCTCCAGAGCGGCTGCTACATCCTGAAGACCCTGAGGGCTGGTGTTGTTCTTGTCCCACATCACAGTCCTGCACAGACAAACACACTGTGACACAGGGTAACAGAGAGACGATCTACAACATTTTAACTGCCATCAAATGACAAGTAATATCGACTTGTAAATGTTTTTTTACTTCCAATATTGGAATACATGTTTGAACCACACAAGTTCCAATATTCATGCATGTGTTTGAGTGCATATAGGGTCAAATATAAGGGAACCTATGTGGTCTTTTATTGTTTTTGTCTATTTGTCTTTAATATCATTTTATCAGTCAACACCTTATTTTAACCCCTCTTATTTTGCATTTATAGACAATATATAGATCATTTAATAAATGGTTTATCACTGTGGATGTTTTAAGTAGAGCATTTGTGAATGCAACAAAGTCAATAACTTGGTGGGCAACCGTAAGTGGGGGCCAGTGTATGAACTGATAATCAATGACAACACAGTAAAATGCAATTGTAATAATATACAATCTGTCTTCATGGGACAAGTTATAATTGTACGTTAATAACGACCACAGAAACGGTCTTGAGTTCTTTGCCAGGTTTTGATATTTCTTTCTGTGTGTGGACAGATTTTGTCACCATGATAGTAGCACAACCGTGCAAGATGCAGTAACAAACCTTTATAGGTCTGTAGCTGAGATCAAAATGAAAGCCGAACTCTAAGATAGGTGTGGTCCGAGCAAGGGTGCCCGGAAGTAGAGGCGAAAGAAGTGCCCTTGTCCTTAAAATATGTAGCGGCTGGTGTGATCCCATCACAGCATGTTCTCTAGTTACTTATTGTTATTTATGACTGGCAGTCATGTGACACAGCCTTAGAGCCCTGAATGTATACTGACCTGAGTTTGGAGTTGATCTGTAGCGCTTTGGCCAACATCTTGGCTCCCATGTCCCCCATGGCGTTCCCGCTGATGTCTAACCTGGTGAGCGAGGAGTTGCTGCCAAGAGCGTTCAGAACGATGGTCAGATCACTCTTCAGTCTGGAGTCTGCTAGAGACAGAGATGTGAGGGGCTGGGGAGGGAAGAAATAAGGGAGAAGGAAGTGTATATGTGAGGTGGGAGGAGGAGAAAAAAAAAGGTTTTGAGAGAGGGTTAATATTATGAGAACGAGGCATTTAATACTACCATATGACTGTTATATATGATGTGTTTGTGACTGTTAAAAGGACGCAGGACAGTCTTCCAATTCTTATTTGCCTTTTGCATTAGGCGAACATTTAAAAAGAGCTTTCTTGGCCCTTGTTGTACATCACTGCCAACTTTAACAAAAGTTATTGTAATGTATAATGTTGAGAGCATTATTATTCCTTTAAGTAGTGCCAGCATGTTTTCCTGCCAAAGTGTCCTGTATTCACTGTGAATGGGTGCCTGATATCCCTGTGTCTTCTTTTCATTTGGCTTAATTCTCACACTTCCTATGAGAAAGTATGAGCATGCAGTTGAGCACGGTCGTCAGAGCTCAACGCCACTTTTTCATCATTACAAGTGTCTGAAGCTTTTTAAAATCAATCAAAACGTTAAAAAGCAACTTCATCTTGTGCAAATATAACAGTAGTTATACAGCTCTGTTCCTGCAGAGGGTGGTATACTCAAAAGGGCAAACCCTAGTTAAATATTTATCAGAGGATCAAGTGGACCTGCAAGAGACTTTTCTAAAATGTCAGAGGTGTTATCATTCAAAACAGGGCACTCCACAGGGCAAAATGAAAAATTCAGCACTGGATCAAGTAGATTTCTTTGTGATATGAGGGCTTACAAATGTCCAACAGCGCCCGTCTGTTCACCAGCTCTGAGCTGCTCTATGATGCATGTCATTTACACAGCTGGAGACTCCTGGGGGCCATCTTCACAAAACGCGCTGAGGCTAGGCTGCATTCACACCAAATGCAAATTAGTAGGTCCGAACTGGCTGAGTTTGAAGGAACTCCTAAAAATAAGGGCTGTGTCAGTCCTAATTTTAGTGTCTGATCTCATAAATATGACAGATGCAAAAGCGCACAGCGCTGCAAGAAGCACTGCCAGTAAAGGTCTGAATGACGTGCGAGTTACTCTCTAATGAAGCTTCTGTCTATGAAGGAGAGTGATACACTGATTGGATAGCAATGTATGTGTGGCGAAATAGTATCGACATGTCTTGTTTGAGGATGCAGAGAGAATTATTTACTGTTTGCATGTGCTTCTGTGGGGCACAGAGCAAACACTGAACATGCATATTTAAATGGGTACATGTTTATGGACCTGTAGCCGCGGTAATCCTCACTCCAGTGATGCAAAGTAGAAATCACTGGGTTTATAACAGCTGAACAAAAATCTAAATGTCCTGCTGTAGCACAGAAAATCAGTGCACTAACACCATCTGATCATCGCAGTAAATGTGGAAGTAGGGAAGTATACAATGGCAACGTCTGCATGTTGTGCTGCCTGCAAAACGTACTGTCCCTTTCTATCGCTGAAGCAAATGACTTCCAGCAGCTCAGATTCCCAGCCCTTATTAATCCCTAAAATAGTGAAATCATTACTCTGGGCATGTATACATTTCTTGTTTTATAAAACCAAGAAAATTAGAAATTGTAGCCCAAGACATGCAGATAAAAGTGACATTATACCAGAGACAAATGAATCTATTTAATGAATGTGCGTTTACTGATGAGCTGCGTTTATTCTAATGAAACTCATTTATCCTGCAGTGTGTCTGCAGTCTTACTGGTTACTCTTTCACAACCATTAAATGATTGTTATTATTATTGTTAGGTTAGAGAAATTGGGGTTGTACAGTTATTCTACTTTCCCCTTTCACATATCTTCTCTGTATCGTCTTCTCTAACTTCATGCTGGTGAAATTTAGGTTTTTACTGATTTCTTACTGCCATAACAAACCTTAAGATTATGATTACTAGGTCTGGTCTGTGGTTTTGCATGTATTGTAGTTTGTATAAGGGATGAATATATATATATATATATATATATATATATATAAATATAAGAATTACATTTTCTGGTTAGTGATGGCAGTTATGCAGATTCTATTAGTGTCTAATATATGTTGTTTGCTTACCACAGATATATTACACAAGCAAAAAGAGCAATAAAGGAGATGTTGTATTTTGCAGATACCCAGTTTGTTTTTTCTCTTGGGGACTATTTCTTGGCCAAATGAAATTCCTTGAGTCTCCTCCTCTCCTTTCCAGGCAACCAGCTCAGACTTCAGGAAGTTATTGCTGCCGGCCAAGAAAGAGTCCAGGTGCTGTAGATTAAGGTACCATTGGACAGAAACAGGATAGCTATTTTCCAGTCATTATGCTAAGGGTTTCAGTGAGTATGTATGCAAGTGTGAAAAAAAGAGAGAAAGGTGGGAGTATATAAAGTTTCCTGGCAGGGGTGGCAAATATTTTGTGATTTTTTTGTCTCTGTTTTAGTTTTTCTAGTGCTCTCTTTTTTCCGTTTTGGCAGTGGTTACCCTCCTTTCATCGAAGGTCTTATTCCGTCACCCATTCAGAACAGCCTCCAGACCAATCAGCTGTTCTAATAAGATACAAAAAATGACCCTCTCTGTCACATTTCCTACCTACCACTATTACTTTTATTCCTTACTATCCTATCCCACCTAATGAACATTCTTTGACCCTCCACCTTTAACCTCTGCATATCACTTTTTCCCTCCTGTCCTCTCTTTGTATCCTTCCTGCACAGCCAGATAACCAGCTCCTTCAGAAACGCTATCTTCTCATGTATAATCACACACACACACACACACACACACACACACACACACACACACACACCACAGCACAGAGTGGCTCAATAGGACCATCAATCTAGTACATCTGCCTCTGTGGGAGACAATAAAAGGACAGGCACCAGGGCAAAATCTGTGACAGCTTTTATGATGGTGGCAGAGATAAAACTAGTGAGATGGATTGAGGGACAGAAATGAAGGGAGATAGCTAAAACTGGAGAAGATCCCTTTATTAAATGTTCTGTATTTTGGTGGTTTGCCTTTGTAGTGCTGTTGTGTTCCTAACGTTCTGCACCCGATACTTGAAATAGCATGAATATTTGAGTACAGCTCTCATAAACAACATGGTTTCAGTTTAATATGATACTTTATTCATCACTAGGGTGATTATATTCACACCACCCTCCGACAGAGAGGTCAGGGATCATTTGTAGAGCAGCTGGTGGAGATTCAGTGATTTGCTTCAGCTGGATGCTCGCTGATACAGGATTTGAAACTGAGGCGTCTGTTTGGAGGACGTTCTCCGTCACCATTTATCTACTGTCCCTCACAAACGGCAGATGGAGAAGGAAATGAAAAAAAACTCACCGACTCTTCTTCCTGAATCATATGGACCAGGCTGTCCAACACTGGAGCAAGGTTTCTATGTCAGGCAGAAGAAAGACAGGAAGAAAAAATGAGGCGAAAAGGAAGCATGAACATGATAAGCGCACTGAGAGAACAATCTTTTGAGAACTGCACCGCACAGATTTTTCTTTATATACTCAAGTATAGAAAAATCTGCAGAATACACAGTTTCTAGATTAATCTGTGCGAGTCCATCAGGAATGCAACATTTTGTAGTAGGGATTCATTTTTTATGCTTTTATCATGCCGAATGAAAGTTTCCAAGAAACTTACGTGCACATTTCTGGTAAAAACACGATTTAAAGAGATGCTTTTGTGCGATTCTTTGTCGAGATACTCTGTTTATACAGATCTGTCAATTAAATCAACACTGGATTAGTCGACAAAGAGTGTTAGTCCATTAAGAATTTCTTTGGTCGTGGACAGCCCTACTATGTAGATCTCTGGTCATCTTGACCCCTCACTATGTACAGTACATCTTCTAAGTATGTACAGTCCTCAGACTTCCTTGCCATGTGGCATTTATAAGATCAAACATGGCTGACTATTGCATGTTGGTTTGTAGACGGCATCTGACAGAGCAGTCTTTGGTCATCCACAACAGACCGAGCTAAGACACACTAAGCCACAACCAAACCCAACCCAGGCCTAACCACTGAGGTTTCTCTCACAGCCCCGTACTGTACACCTCATCTGTTCTTACTTGGACTTGATGTTGTTGAAGTTCTTCCCCAGAGAAAGGTGTCTGATGGATCGGTTCTTGGCCAACCACACCAGCAGAGTGGACAGGTCCGAGTCCAGGCCTGGAGGTGGAGGAATAGGTTGAGATGATAAGGTTGACTGGTCTTTGATTTTGGTAGCTGCATGCTATTATTAGCATGATGTTGGAATTGAAAGTAAATATATGATACAACATGCATGAAAGCTGCCACCTCACCGTTGTCAGAGATGTCTAGGCTGGAGATGTTCGGGATCTCAGCAATACAACCTTCAAGGATCTGAGAGCCTCCTGACCGCAACTGGGAAGACAGGAGGGCGAATTTTAAACACACACACACGCACACGCACACACACACACACAGTACGTGAGGCACAATATAGCGTATGGCATGTTCATCTAATAACGGTACAGCTAGCCAGAGCTCCTAACACTTTGAATATGCGACTCCCTAACTGCCTGCTGCACGACTACTAGCATGAGACAGCTTTTAGAGAATCCTGCACCAATATTGTGCAGAAGGTTGTACGCATTCAACAATACGAGATTCAACTACTGTATATACATTATGAACCTGAGTACCGCTGTGAAAACAACAAAGCAAGTGGTTTAAATGACAAAATTATGCGTGTAAGATTTTTAGGTGAAACATGCATTTGGTTTCTAACAGACAACTAATAATGGAGACATGCAGGATACAACTTATGAAGAACTTGTGGTTTTATCATAAAACTTAAAATAACAACACAGATCATCCAAAATAAAAATATGGACCACGAGAAGAATAGGATCAGCAGAAAATAAAGCATCTGCCAAAACAGACGTGCAAAAAAAATGAGGAGGAATGAGATGTTAATTATTAAGATTGAGCACATTTGTACTTACACAATGGCCAAGCTTACAGAAGCATTAGGGGGAGAGAACGGCATGTCAGAGCCATGCCAACAATTACCAGCAACAAAACACACAGATGCTTAATACTTCTGTTCTCACCAGTGACGCACACATTTGCATGAAGACACGTAACAGAAATCATATACACAGCCCTTCTCTCGCATGCTGTCAGCCCACTCAAAGCACAGTTTTGGGCCATCTTCACCAAGCGGCTCATTAAGACCTCGCAAAAAAAAAAAAAAAAAGGGCCGAACGCATCATTTCCCCCCACAGCTTCAGTTTGGGAAGATTTCTATGGGAATCTGGAATTGGATTTCCTGTGTAATTTGTATTCATGTGTTATCTTTAGCATTCCCATTGAATCTGCATTGAATCTGCAGCAAGCTGTCTTTTTCTGTTCGAGCAGGGGAGGAGATGAAGGCGAGGAGCTGGTGTGTGTGGGTGAGAGATGTGATGAAACAATTAGGGATGGAAACAGCTCCCCGCCCCCCCGCCCCCGCCTGCTGTCGGCCAAGTATTCCATTATACCGCCTCTTAACAGTGTCACTGGCCTGTCGGGACGGTTTTGGAGTGGATCCTAAAAGGCTGATTGCATTGGATGAGTGTTACCTCCAAACTATTAAAAACCACCCTCTCCAAACTTTAGCTGACAAAGGCACTTACACAAATACCGCTAATACTAGACACAGAAAGAATAAAGGAATACAATCCAGAAGACACAAGCAGTGCCCCAGGAAGAGCCACTGGTTGCCGTCTTTTGATTACTCAGGCTTTCACTGTGTTTTGTAGCATTGTGCTTTAACTGTGTCAGCTGATGCATCATCATTTAATGTTACTACAGCTGAGGGATCTGGGTCTACTCTTCTCTGCAACTGCTCTGGAAACTGTTGTCGCTGCATTTGGTGATACATTTAAAACACTTCCATCTCTACTGAACGGTTGGGGCTTCAGCTCGACAGCTGTCACATTGAGATTTGATTTCAGTGCAGCCACGAGGGAATGATCACTCACGGGCCGACTCACGGGCCGGGTACAAATGCACAGAAAGATCTCAATGATATCTTGACTTCAAATGAAATGATGTATGAGGGAAAATGACTGCTCGGTGCATCTCTGTCGGTCTTACCTCACAGCAGCTGAGATCCAGAGACACGCCCTTCAGATTGAGGTTACTGGCCAGGCCAAGCAGGAGAGCTCTACAACAATATCAATGTAAGCAGTTAAAATAATTATAACTTCAAAAGGTATTAAGAGATTTGAAAAACGTTTCATCAGTAGACTGTTCATTGTTTGTGAATCCAGGTTTCCCTAATTGGTTATATTTTGTTCCATTACGTTTCAATTTGTTTTCATTGGTGAGCATACATGTTTTTTTGCCACTGTCAATATCCAAACTCCAGATACTAATGATGATACCACTTGCAGTAAAATAAACATTAAACTGCAGTCTCCCAGTTAGTTCAGATAAAGCTGCAGCTGCTGTCCTCCAATGCAGCTCCTCACTGTGAAATAGGCTGACAAGACAAGTTTATTCTTACTGTACCTGAAAGTCTGAAAATGCTCAACTTTGAAAGAGGAGACAGGTGATAAAAGGAGATGAGGAACAGAATGTACAGGCGCAGAGAATGTGGGGCAGAAGCTCCGCAGACGCATTAAATGTGAATGAATCGTGCTCTCACTTGAGGGCCTCCGGTGGCAGCTTGGTTCCTGACACGTTGATGGAGCTCAGAGACATGGCGCTGCTGAAGAAGTGCTTAAATGACGGAGGCACCTCTTTGCCTTTCCTACAGAAAACAAAAAGAGAGCAGGAAATACAAATAATGAACAATGAAAAAACATGTCAACAACTTTTCAGACTGTTTAAGCCCTTTTGATCCAACACCAGAAAAGGCTCGATGATGGACGGAGATTCAGGCAAACAATACGTTTGTATTACTCTTACCATGTCCTAAAAGCCTGTGACCCATTTTAGTTTTTATCTGCTGTTTAAGAAACTGTTTTAGCTCCACAAAACAAAGTCCTCAGACAGGATTTTCACAAAGGAGAATCACTCAAGCCCCATTTACTGTACAACCCGTACCCACTTCTGCCACTGTGTCCGCACATTCAATTCCCCTTCTTTCCTTCCACCTCTACCATACTCATGTTCTCTACTCCTCTCTCCATGCCTCCACCTCTCTCACCTAATAACCACCCCCCATCCTCTGCTCCTCTCTCCCCTTGATGAAGTCCTCAACTCCCTAGAGGCACACTGGAAAGAGAGATAATAATTGGAAGAAAACTCCGCCCACCACCCATCTGTTACACACACACACACACACTGCACATTTACAAACCCAGCAAAACACAGGATATTTTTCAACCTGTTTCATCTTGTCTGTAATGGCACTTTGTCAACAGCAGGTGTCACACACCAATATACAGACTTCAGCTAAAAGGAACCGCTGTAACAAGTCTCTCATTTCAGGTCAAATCAACCTTTTAGGGCAAAAAGACACTTTGATGTAGACACATACTACATGTACATGTACTGTCTTACAGAGAAGCTTCAGTGGTGTTATGGGCTAAAAAGCATTGTCTAGTGAGCACATAGTGGATGACAACTTACAGGAGATACAACTCAATATCAACTTTACATTTAGGCCCTGATTTTACAAAAAGATGCAAGTGGTAGTTGTGGATAACTATGGAAGCCATCTTAGCTGTGTGATGGTATTCTGGAAATCTTGCAAATGCACTCTTGACCATCACACGTTTTAAGATACAGATCAATTTAGTGCAACACGGATGGGTTTTTACCTGTGAGGGAAGACGCTCTTTGACACATTAAGAACAGAGAGGTGCTCGACGGAGCCACGCAGCAGAGCTGAGCAAACCTGGAAAGCACACCGAATGTATTAACAGGACATATGAGCTGTATAAACAAGTGTTTGAGTTCTCATGCTTTATTTGGAAAAGTGAAGAAAGCGTTCGCCTGTGTTAAGAAGTGTGTGAATGTATTTAAGTGTGTGAATGTATTTATGTCTGGCTGTTTGTGTAAGTGAGAGAGACAGAATATGATCTAAGAGCTAGTCAATATGTTCAGTGACAGGCTGACAGCTGGCTACATCTCAGACTAATCAATAAGCTGTATTTGGCTCTCAGACCCACATCAATACAGCACATACGGTATTCAGATCACTTCACAAGCAGTATATGGCAACACAGTTTGAGTGGGCGTGTACAATTAGATTACATTCCCTGCAACACCGACATTAATGGCCTGTACTTCATTTTACAATACGGCATAATGAGGGACAACTAGAACTGCACGTTGTTTGCTCACAGAAAGTAATTCTCTCATTCTTCTGCTGGGATTGTTTTGATAGAAATGTGTTATCCATTATCGTATGTCTTTTTACCCGATTCTCTTTTAATAGGCAGGATATCATTTTAGTTTGCCTCCTAACTCACCTGGTCCAATGAGCAGTCAGTGTTGGAGAGGTCAAGGGTTGACAGGCTGTTGGGTTGACCCAGGAAGTGGTAGAAATGCTAAATGTAAAGCAAAACACGACACACATTGTTACAAAGGAGAAGACGATGCCTTGTCAACAAGGAACTTCCTCTACTCGTGTTGATTTGTATACTTTAGAGGCTAGCTGTTTCCAGTCCTTGTGCTAAGCTAAGCTAACCGGCTGCTGGTGCTAGCTTCATATTTACTGTACAGACATGAGAGTGGCATCAGTCTTCTCATGAAACACTTTGACAAAAAAGGGAATATGTGTTGTTCCCTATTCCTCTAAAACTATTTTAGCTTCAGTCCCTGCAGTATTTTAGGCAGCAGATGATACTAACATCTGTGTGTGTATGTATCGTGATTTGTTGTATAGATATAAATACAATATGTCACTGGGATTGGTACGACTGTGTCAGTTAGACTAGATTCTGATTTGTAACCCCACAATAGAAGGTTTCTCTCCTTATCCTTGTATCTGTGCTCTGGACAGATGTTGAATTTCCCAAGTCGATGCTCTCCTACAGAGTGACATGCTAACTGATTTATAACGGTCTGCAAACGCCTCCACACATCCGCAGCACTGAACTGTTTCAATCGATTGAGTGTTATTGCTACCAGCGCTAAAATGGATTAGAAACTGTGTTTGTACCTGCATGTCGTCTCCTCGGAGGACATTCCCTGAGAGGTCCAGATGGACCAGGCTGCTGGGGATGGACGGGTTGGCACTCAGTGACTGACAAAGGCTGTTCACCCCTGCAACACACACACACACACACACACACACACACACACACACACACACACATGCAATGTCAGCATTATCCCAACCCTCAAGCCTCCTGTTTTGACAGCGCACGAAGGAAATATCAGTGGGTGAAAACAGGAAAGAACGGGATCAGAATGTAGAGTGACTGCATGGAAAGGGAAAAGAGCAAGCCTTCTCATGGTGGTGTAAATGTAATGCTGCACCTTTCTCACTGTAAGTCTATGTTAAGGATGAGGCGTTTTTAATTTTATGTCACAAGAAGATATATCAAAATAAATTCATTAAAGGCATGACGCCAACATCAAGCTCTCAACAACCTCATGAAGTGCTGCTGTCTCAAATGTTTACGACGTGAGAGACAGAGATTATATGCACGTCTTGGCATGCATGGATTTCTATTGTGTGCGTGTGATGTCGTTATTCTCTGCGTACAACCTCTGACCCCGTGTCAAGTCTATCACATGGCTGACACACTGAACTAGCAGTGAATCAAGGTGTGACTGTCAAATGACGGACTCGACAGAGATAGAAAGCTGAGAACAGATGAAAAAGGAGAAACTGAAAAATACACAGAAATAATAAAGATGAGATAACAAGAGAGACAAGATTTCTGCAATGGATGCAAACATTTCAACATTTTCAAGTAACATTGAACTGGAATTCACAAGATCAAATGATGGATCTACTTCAGATTTATCAGAATCAGTGCTAAAAAAGAGGAAAATATCCTCAATGCTTTGCTTTTGCTCGAAGCATTGGGGGCTTTTGGGGTTTGGATTATAGACCGGGCCTTTAGCTAGACGAGCAGGGCTCAGTTTAAGCAGAGCAGCCCTCTCGCTAACCCTACACTGTGAAATATGATAGCTCTTTATTGATTGCCTGAGAGCAGAGCATGTTTACAGAGGGTCCCTAAAGACGGTGCCCGATGCGTTTAGTTTGGGTGAGAACCAAGAAGAAATTTGACCTGCAAGTGGTTGTTGACAGCTGACTACATTTAATCTAGAAATTATAACAAGAATGACAACAAATCCCCAGCATTTTTTGTTGTTGCAGAAAAGCAATCAGCCCTTTCATAGAATTTCATTAAAGGCCATTACTGCAGAAGGATTTTTCCATCATGCCAAGAAGTTACGGCTCTACTGATTGAAGGAAAGTGGTCTAGTAAGCAGTATTTATGCAAATAAAAAACATGAATACTGTTTACAGATTGTCTCTTCTGCACACTCACACATTACAAACACTACAACACATTTTTCTTCCTCTCCCTCTCTCACTCACAGTGTTGCAATAATTAGGTGTCATTAGCATCCCAGCGGTAGGTGTGATTAGATTTGTGGAAGATGTGGATTGTGCCTGATGACAGGCGCTCACGTAAATTAGAGAGCAGGCTGATCACAACACAATATTAGTAATATTTTTTGTAATTGAATCATTTCAAACAACTCCATTTCAAAACTGCATATGTTTTCATTCATCATGTATTAGGAACTGTATATATATAGCACATACCTTTGGGTGATAGTGAGGTTTTGGAGAAGTTTAAATGCTTGAGCCCCTGACGAAGTTTGGCAAACTGAGCTCCCAGGGAGGAGATACCTGCAGCAAGGGAGAGGAAACAGTCATAGTGACTCGTGAACAGACAAAATATTAATTCTATACACAGAAACAGAAACTATCAAAGCAAAATTACTCCGAGCCCAAATGTCTAAAATAATATGGTATAATTTTGTTTAAATAAGAGAACATTCAAAAGATCACTGTGGTAAATTTCACAAGATAAAAAATAAGCCAGAGATGTAAACCCCAGAAATCTGTCGTACATTTGGTGGAATGTGTCATTAATTCATTAGAATAGAGGTGATGAAATATTAAACTTGTTGCTCTCACTGCACTGTAACCAGTGAATAGAAAAATCAATACACTCTACACATGTGACAGGCTGTGGTGTATATAGTATACATGAATAATGCACATTTAAGAGTTGGCAAGCAAAATCTGAATGTTCAATGTCTTCAATATTTTGCTTCGGTAGGAGATTTACCTTTCTGACCAGATGTAGAACAGAGCCGTTTAGAACAAAGTACAGTTGAGAGTATAACAGACCGCAGACATTAGACTACATTAGAGCAGACATCTCACCTCTGTCCTCCAGTGCGTTGTTGGCAAGATTAATGGTGGTGAGTCCTGAGCTGGGGTTGTGGGCCAGGGCAGCAGCTAGCTTCTGGGCAAAATCTCTAAAGTGTGGGAAAGAGTGTAGCCGTTATGTGTGTATGACCAATGTACAGTACGTGTGTGCAACCTATCAAAAAGGTTTAGCAACATAAATATAATTTGGCCAAAGCAGAACAGCAAGAGCAGAATAGAAGTGAATCGGCCTTTTTCACAGAACACATTTTGACATGTCACAGTAGGAAAAGCACAGTTGTAATTAATAAAATGAATAGTGGCTGCATTTAGTTGCTAGAGTGTCCTGGTATTGTGCATGTTGGCCCACACTGCCATGGCTTACTGGAAGACTTAAAACAGAGCCATCGGCAGTGTTATTAGTAATACCTGTATTTAAACTATGATGATAAGTCAATCAATTTCACATTTCACATAAGTCAGACTTTTGGTATTCTATATATAATGCTATAACGTTTACTTTTGTTGCAGGCATGTGTCTTAGTATTGTATTTCCATAAAGTTAGGGGACCTATGATTGTTTAAAAAGGGCTAAAATTGATGCGACAGGGTGAAATATCCTGAATTTTTGTTGCTATATGCTACCATAGAAATAGAATAGGAATAGAATGGATATTGAACTTTTTTTCCGTGGTTATTTGACTAGTACAAAAGAAAATGCAGATTTTTGTTTGTTGTTATGGTGACAATGCGCATCAGTGTTGTCCCAGCCCGGCGGGAAGAGAGCGGACGCAGCTCCGGAGATTGATGGCGGGCTAGTAGCTCTGTAACTATGCTTTAATGCTACACTGGTTACAGAAAACGAGCCCAAAAAAAAGATTTCACTTACCTGGCGAAAGCAATGTGCTTTTCTACGCTGTGACTAGAGTGTGTGGATGAAGCATTACATTTTACTCTGCTTTGTAACGTTCCTACTCCACTGCTCATTTAAGTCGTAAAATGGCCCCTCTTACCATCCTGCTACGTTGATTTGAATGAGATTGTCCCTTCAACTCCTTTTTCTATTTCTATGGATCCTATATTTCCCATAATGCAAGACAGCGTCTTTGATTAGACCCTTTCTGTCTGGGAAACGCCAACACTTCTCCACAGCAGCAGTTGGTAAAACAGGCTATCTGCTAAAAACGTGTCGTCTCCAAGTGATTGCACTGGACTCATTGTCTCACACAAAGCTCTGCCAGCAGTACTCTTCATTATGAGTTCATTGACCTTGCCCTTTTAATAGTTTGCACTATCTCACGTTTTGAGTCCTGCGTTGTCCAGAACCAACTCTTCCAGTCGACTGGAGCGAGACACTACCCGAAGGATCTGCTCACACACATCTGCAGACTGAAGACACACACGTACATGTACACAACACAACACAGATGTCAGAAAAAAACTAAAAAAAGATTTGTTATACATCATTTTGCAGCTGGTATAATTTAGACAAAAAACACCTCTAAATTGACTCCAGGTTTTTTGTTAGTGCTTGATAAAACAAGTGGACAGTAAGGGTGATATGCAAAGATGGAGATATAATGTTACATATTATGAGTCGCCCGCTCACAGCAGTATCTCAGCTTTTAATCAAAAGCATGAAAATATACTAATTAACTGAACCAGCTTCGAGGATTAAAATGCACTTTTTATCTCGAACAGCAAAGCTTGGATTGAAACATTCAAGGTCAGAGAAATAACAAAGAAATTCACTTTTGGGGAACATGATTCCCTCAAGTGTTCGTGTGAAAAATTCTGTTAAACTGCTCTTGGAAGTTGTTCATGTATGCTGATTAAAGCAGCCCTGCAGAACGTTAGAAAATCCCCAGCATGCAAGTGAATACCGTCTCTTTCGTTAAAGACCATTCATGCGTGACAAGCAGAGACTGGGGATAGCCGACTTTAGTCACTTTAGAGGGAGACAAGTTCTCTCACTTCTGTGTTCTCAACACTACAGGATAGACGGTCGGGGGAGCAAAGGCACTTATATTTAGACAAAATTAAAAATTCAACAGTTGGACGTCCGTGCGCTACCTAGATGTTCACTGACCCACTTCACTGTTCGCTGCGTCATACTCAGACATGTAGACAAACACACATCCTGCAGCAACTGCAGTAACTCTGATTACTCTACGCTAATTATATGCACTGATTCATAACACAAACATTTTTAGTCATACACACTTTACTGGACCATTGTTTGGTTGTTATTCTTGGTAATTGGCATTAATGCTACAAGGGCCTGTCTCTCCCAGCAAGCAGTCTCAGTTTGGCCAAAACACTGCCGACATTGTCCCACACTGTTATCTACAGTGAGGGGGAGAGAAAGGAGAAAAGGAGAGAGGGGTAATGGAGGGACAAGAGAAGGAGAGATAGAAGAAAAGGACTGTTGTTCACATGTTTACTCTCTGAAACTGTGAGTATTACAGAAAAGCAATAAAAATGATGGAGGGCAATGAGGGATGACACATAATACAGAAAAAGCAGATATGAGGGTAGTGAGGGATGAAATGGAGAAAAAGAAAGGAGAGAGGAGTCAGTCGTGGAGTAGCAGATAGAGAGGGAACATACAAAGGAGCCTGTATTTTCACAATACAAATGTTGCGTACAGCACATTTAACACCCATTAAACAAGAGCCTTGTCATGCTGTGCTGTTCTGACCCCCAGCCTGCTGAAATACAACACATACTGTGCGATCATGAGGTAATCAGGAGGCAAGTGCTCTTTTATCACTGCTCTCCCTTCCTTTTCCTCTCCTCCTCTCTCATTTTATGGCTCAGCATCTTGATTAGACCACAAGACAAACAGCCTGATTGAACTGAGGATGAGCAGCATAATCCCTCGCTGTGATGGCCGGCTGCGTTTGTGCGTGAGAGAGTGTTTGTGCGGACATGTGTGTGTTATATTATTCAGTCCACTGCGCTGGGAGATTCCTTATCTGCTTGGCTGAGATGGTTAGACTTGTAATTTAAGCCTGAGACTTGTGCATTTCATGTTTCACACTCACTTCTTCTTTTCTTTTTCTTGCTGCTTTATGACATTTGTTTTTTAGATTCTTCTCTATGCAGCTGTACACAGTTATACAGATACACTTGTTCAGGCTCATTGTTGCCCTTGAGTTGAACGTTTTCCATGCCAAAAGATTTGGCGACCAGCTGGAAATGTCTAGTTCCTCTTCAGTTCATCTCCTGCTTTGACTTCATTCGTTAGATCTGATCTCTTTCTTGATACCTCCTGACTCATTTCCTTATTCATCTGGCATCTCACTCATTCATTCTGTCCACTGACCTCTCCGCTGGCCTCATGGTTCTGTCAGCACTTACCTTCTTTCACTCTGTTTCCTTCTTATTCTTCTTTCTAAGTTGTTACTGTTTCCATTGGCACAGGATCAAAACAACTCAAAATTACACTCCAGAGCACATCCATGCAACCCTTGACTTTCTATTATCACCATATAAACATGCACACACATGAAATAATAGGAAAATAAGACAGAAGTTTCCTTAAAAACACCCAAAAGAGTTTCTGTTGCATTAAACAGCAACCATAAATGCACACAAAATCTGCCTCTTTGCACAAACACAAGCGGCATGTATGGCTAACATCACCGAAACCACCCGAATAAAACACTGTGAATAAACATGTGCTGAAACCTTCCCAGCACAGAAGCCTGAGGGTCCATTATAATACACACTAATCTGAGACAGAAAAGACACACGTTGGTGCACATGTGCCCGTGTGAGTATTTGAGCCTAAATATGCACATGGCACGGCGAGGGGCAGGATTTTAAAATTCAATACAAAAGGAATAGTCTGTGACGGAGGCGTGAGATAATTGTTTGGACTGAGGAGGCTGCGTGTGGTAATTGGTAAGACTGAGCGAAGCCTTGAGACGGGGAGTTGGTAATGGAGTGCTGCAGGGGGGCAGCAGCCTGAGACATTGAGCCCCTTTGTTTCGTTAGGATTAAGAGTCTTATCACACGAGAACATTGGACTGATCCTCAGTCAACAGACAGGAGGGGACGATGGAGGAAACAAAGAGAAAATATTCTGTACAGGGAGATACATACAGGTAAATAGTTAGGCAAAGGTAGAGTGAGAGACGTGTAATGTAGTACTTTATTTAGAAGTTCTGACCTTTAACTACAGGCCAGTTTTTAACGACCATAACACCAATACAATTCAGACTTCTGCTTTTCATCAGAATTGGGAGTACAGTATGCCAATTCTCGTGTTAAACAGTAACCCTCTCCTTTAACTATCGAAACTAATTATCATCCATGCTTGCAGCGTGGCTCTATGGATCTCAATGTCAGCCTGTTGGTTGGTCGGTCGGCCTGTCAGTCCACCCCAGTCCCCCACTTTAGCCCAGGCTCAAAACTTTAATCTGTCCAGCACTTTGGTTTAATAAATACCAGCAAAAGTAATGATACGCCCAAGAGACGCAGGCCCGTCCGCAGTTCTCACCCCATGTTTTACTGTATGGGAAAAATAAGTGCAGTAAGGAAGTGAGAAGCAGGACCTTTACAAACGTTAGAGGAATAGAGAACAAACTGACAAGCAGGTAGACAGGGAGAGACACATCTGTCCGTCTATCTTAAGTGGTGATGCTCCTCACAATTTAACTCTGAGATGGGATTATGTCTGGATTATTTTGCCGTATTGTGGCAGCAGACTAACACTGTGATAATGTTCACTCAACGTAATGTACGGTGATGTACAAACTGAGCCGACATGATTAGTGAACAGACGCGAGGAGGATTTTCAGAAAAGGGGGTACTTACCAGTTTGTAGTCCTTGGTGGAGAGCTTGGTGAACCACTGATTAAACTCCAGCACTGCTATTATTGCCACCAGATCCCTGAGGAGGAAAGAAAAGGCCACAGCTGCAACTATATATTGTTTTTCATCAATGCCACCTTAATTTAGTGTTGACTTCAGCAAATTTTTACTTGAAAATAAATCATGTCAGACCTGCAACAGCGCTCTCATCTTTTAGTTTAGTGTTTCTCTTATCCCAAGACATGCGTGCAATGCTTTTCCTATTACGTGCTATATTCTTATATTTGATATATATGTTTTTATATTTTTCTGTGCCAACACTCACCTGTTCTCCAGATGGCTGAAGTCCTGCAGGTTGAGTTCTCTGGTGTCTTGTGTCAAATAGATGGTGTCCACATCCTGCAAAGGAAACAATTAAACAAAGCGAGTGTTAACAAACATGGCTGTTAGCAAAAAAAACACATCTCCTAGCAATTACTTGATGAGACATAGAAACACATAGAAACAAGCAAGTGCACAGAGCAGATGAAACATATACAGTACGGAAAGAGTCATTTTTATTTGGGAGCAACACCATCAAAAAGATTTTGAGAAATCTAAAGATATGAAGGAGACTGGTACTGTATTCATACTGCTGTGGCTATCCTATTCATCAAACGGCTTTATTCAGTTTCCTGTCAGCCAGGCAACAGCACTGACGCACAGTTGAACCAGGATCTGTCAAAGCTGTGCCTCTGCACAAAGGAATGCAAACAATACTGACCCACTGCACCTCTTCCTTGTAAGGCAGCCCCAACCAGTCACAGACACATCTGTACATCTGAGAAAACCCCCCTGTGCAGAAAGAGAGAGAGAGAGAACACAACAAAGAAATATAAATAACAGAAAATGTTGGCATCTTAACAGAGAACTGTGGGATGTGGATTGGGCAAACATGCATGTAATTTCAAACAATTTTATCACAAATGACAATTGCTTTCATCCACCATGTAAAACTACTATATCGTTGATCTAAACTCACTGTACAAATGACTGTAGCCCCCCAAAACACACACACACACACACACGCACACACACACACACTGTAGAGTCACAAATTCTTACCACAAGGTCCAGGCTCAGCAGGCTTGTTGTTCTCCCACAGAGTCTGCAGAGAGATCAGCCTGTCTGGAGGCTCCATGCAGAGCTTCTTCATCACTTTACTGGGAAGAGAATACAGATTGAAACATAATTTAGTCATCCCATTTCTACATTTCCCAAATATTGTCGCTGGTGAAAATGTTCAAAAGCCTATAATCTTTTTAAAAGCTTCTAAAACAAGCAGCTCCAGGCTATTTTCTTACTGCCTTACTTGTCAGTGGTCATTTCTGAAAGAAGGAAGTTGCTGAGTGCTCCAATATGAACTACATTTAAATAAACTACACATTTAAATTCTAATTTAAAAAACAACAAACATGTGATATTCAATGCAGCGTTAAGTTGACTGCAGCTCAAACATAAAAACATCAGCCTCTCTGTCCAGTCAAAGACTTTGTCCTGTTTGCAAGACGAGGTTATAAAAGTTTATGGTTTTACATCTGCAATCATTTCTGCATTCATATTCATGCTTCCTGTTCTCAACAAAACATATTAAATGAGATTCACATCCTCATTATGAGATGACATGTTAGATGCACGTTTTTTTGGACATAAAATACAGTATACTGTAGCTGTGACTCAACCGTAGCGCCTTCTAGAGATCTGACTGTTGCACCTGGTTAAACTCTCGGTGTTAGAAACATGAACAGATATTTTTTAGAGCACCCACGCAGAGATTTATAATGGAAATACTGTCGGATTAATTAAATACATCTTTATTAGGAATGATTCAAATTTTCTTTACATGACTGAAACATGACCACGTGAATGGTTTTGTTGCACCCGATCAAACACGCATGTCGGTGTAACTCACCTTGGTTGTAGACCGGGACATATCCTGAGCAGACAGTTCCCTATGTGAGCGACCACCTCATTGACCTCCTCTGTAGAGAGCAGCTTCAGGGAGAAGGAGCCACGCTCGTACTCGATGAACAGCTAAAAAGGACACGTCATTAATTAGTGATGCACACCAGCATGCATGGTTTCACCTAAACCCGCTTCAACCACAGTTCTACTTCTTCAGACTAGTTAATCATCTTTCTTTATTTCATCCACTGAGTCTAAATAAAATCAACCAAATAAGAATAGTGTGTTGGCAGTGAAAGGACTTAACATGAATTCATTATGTGTCTATATTTATGTGACTTTCATATTCCACTTTTCTGCCCGTCTACTCCGCTGAATCTACCCACCAATAATATAATTCACAAGAATAAAACCAACACATCCATCTGTCAACTCAACCACATCTACATCCTACATCTTTGTCTTCAGTAAAAGTGAAGATTTCACGACATTTATTTAAAACTGTCTGACCACTTCAGTGCTCACTGCAATTATGCAAATGCTGATGTTAGGCGATACATGCTTCATCTATAGGCCAACATTAACATAATCCTTGCTGATACTTACAAAACATGGGAGACCATCAGTCAAGATATTAAGAGGACTGACATCTCTTGAGATGAGTGTGAGGGAGGTTCAGCTGCGGGAATGATCTGTTTTTTGTTGTGTCTCGTACATTAATCATGTTTTAAAGATTATACTTGCATATTTTTCTTTCCATCCACTCAGTGGACTCACTGTCTACCACTGTAGTAAATATCTGTTGTGATTAAAGGCGCTTGAACTGGATAAGTTGGGTTCAAGTACCCGTATCAGCAAACAGCCATCATGCTCAAGTGTCCCTGAGCAAGACATTTAAGGCTAAGCTTCTGCAGCATCCCTTCACTGAAGAGGACTCTGACCTTTGACCTCAACAGAGAGGAGGGATGAATAAAATATGCATTAATATTTTATTCATTTACACATCAATTTGTTTTTTAAAACAGAGCTGCATGCTGTAGAGAGTGAGGGACTTTAGAGGATGCAAGGCTAGCAATTTCCCTCTGCTTCCAGTCTTTATGCTAAGCTAAGTTCCCTTTTGGCTCTAGCTCCATACTTAACACAGAGACACAAAAGTGGTATCAATCTTCTCATCCAACTCTCGCCAAGAAAACAAATGAGTGTAATGTTGTAATGCTTTAGTGATAGGTTCTTTACCTGTGTAGGCTTGTTACAAGCAATCCCCTGGATCTCCAGATAATTAAAGGAGTGTTCCACCTAAAACAGAGCACAGAAATCACCATTAAAATACTTAGTTATGGCCTCTTAACATCCTAAAGATCAGACGAGAGACAATGAAAGAGATATTCAAGTTCGCTAGTTTCAATTCTTCTTCATTACAGCATGATGTTCATTTAGTAAATTATGGTCCTATTTAGAGTGAAATAGACCATAAAGCCAGGTATGCTTGAGGGAAGGCTACCTTGTGATTGACAGGTCATTACCCGGGCAACATCCGGTCTGTGGGTTTGCTCGTGTTTTTGTCTTACAACTTTAGCTCTTTCACAGTGTGTTTTCAGTTTATGAAAGTTAGTTGTAACCTTTTTTTTGGTAGCCTAAAAATGTCTTATTCAGCATTCGGTTGTACTTAGCTCCACCCTCTCGTGTTACTTCTGTTTGCAAAAAAACCAAGATGGCGACGGCCAAAATGCCAAACTTGAGGCTTCATAATGGCAGTCCACAAACTATTGAGTGACGTCACGGTGACTACGTCCACTTCTTATAAACAGTTTACGTGTGCTTGTGTGAGAGGAGTCTGTGAGAGTAATTGTGTGTATAATAACAGCAGTCTAGTACAGTGACTGTCTGTCTGAGGAATGTTGTGAAAAGATATGTCTGTTCCATAATGAATAGGTAGGGATGCAGTCATTTCCTTTTCTTATTTCTCTTTGCTCCTGTGCAGACTTCTTTATCACTGACTAACACATTTATGTGTTTTTTCTGGGCAACATTGGACACATTTGGTATGGGGGATGAGATCCTGTCCTTAATTGTTGAGCTAAATCAGCTCTTTAATGAGTATTTCATCTCTGCCGGCTGAATTCATTTAAAATGCAACCACTATGGGATGCACTGCTCATTTCCTTGCTCATTTGCAAGAAAGCATTTGTTCTGAATTGCTTGTAGTTTTATGAAGAGAAGACACAATAGAACATTGTTCTTCCTGAAATGTCTGAATTGAGAGTAAGAAAAAGGCCTCCGCTTCCTTCTTCTATTCACCTCCAGAAATACCTGTACTTTTCAAGCCAAGACAGGCTACAGACAGCCATCCGTACTTTCTATTTCTTTTTCAAGAGACAATTTCAAGACAGAGAAAAGCAGCAGCCTGCCTTTCCATACCAAAAAAAGGAAAGGGAAAGATCTGCTTTAATGTGAGAGGGTGGAACCTCTCACGGAGCTCACAGTTTTCCTCTCTTTCTTTTCCTCAAACACAGACATATAGTACGGTGCCTGAAGGCAGGCCAGGGAGCAAGGCCAGACTATTCCAGGTGGGCTCAGTGTTCCTGAGGCTTGGCTCAGAGATGAGAGGAGGGAGAGGATAAGCAGACTGTCTGTCTTCTGACAGACAGTGTGTGTGTGTGTGTGTGTGTGTTTATTTCTTGTGGTTGAGCACTCATGTTCGGTCTACGAGCTGAAAGAATTCCACAAGTACCACAATTGTTAGTACAATGTAAACAAGCACACACATCATCATTTCCATCCCATAATTCAATTATATGGGCTGATTATCCAAAAGGCATTAGCTGTTACAGCCTTACTTTATCTGGTTGGACCATAGCTTACAGTATGGTGGCTAATGTAAGCAAACCTTAGGTAGATGCAACTGTATAACTGGCATTACGAAATCATCAAGTATAGGAGGCTACATACTATATTACAGTTTATTACTTGTGTCTTATTACACACACACATTTATTTAATGTGAAAACACCTAGGTCTAGCATAAAGACTGGTACAGTACTACAGTAGACAAGTACAAGTAGTACAGCAGTATATATTGTTTTGATACGTGCATTGCAAACTATTAGTTGAATGTTACAATATGCAATAAACAGCGTCCAAATCAGTTCATTTTATTCAGCCAGTAAATGGCAAAATAGCAAACCAAATTGATGGCCAAAGGCAAGACCTCATGCTGGGAGGTGTAGGGAGGAACCAAATAGCGTTCACTCAATCGTTCAGTGTCCGTCTGTCACTTTAACCACTCTCCTCCACTTTTGTTTTTGTTGTATTTTCATGGACAGCTCAACTTTGAATGTGTTCATGCAGAGGTTAGTTTGGTGTGCAGAGAGAATGGGTTTAGGATTAGAGATGGTGGACATTAGGATGCTGTTGCATTGAGCAACGACAGTAAACTGTAGATGTTGGGATTTATAAACGTGTCTGTAAGTGAGACGCTGTAAATGCTCTCTGTGATCTTTTGTTTCATAAACCACAATTATAACATAAAGCAGAAAGTAGAGAGAGATAAAGACAGAGTGTACAGGTATGTAATATTAACAGCAACAAGAGGCTACAGAAAAAGCAAAGAGGCAAAATGGAAGAAACAATGAATGAACGTGTGTGTGTGTGTGTGTGTGTGTGTGTGTGTGTGTGTGTGTGTGAGAGAGAGAGCATGTGTGCATGTTTGGGATGAGATACTGACAGAGTGTGAGGCCCTGAAGCTCCTCAAAAGGAGCCAATTGGAGGCACAGACACAAAAGACCCCGATGAGAAGTGCATGAGAGGGCTACAGGGGGATTCCAACTACTACTGAGAGAGGAGAGATACACAGTAATGTGTTTAACTACTGCAATATGTTTACTTTAATATCAAAGCTGTGGGCTCAGAAGAGCATTCCTGCGAAAATCCCCTCTAACTGATTGTTGTCTTGTGTGTTTTCGATGCATCTCTGGGATCGAGACAGAGATGCGTCTAACATATGATGGATCAAACGCAGCGTCTACAATACATTCAGATGGCCAGAAGCATAAACCAACACCCAACACTGTCTCAGCTTTGATCCAACAAAAAACGTAAACTAGAAACTGAATCTACGGCCGACTCATACAGTCAATAGCTCATGTGCTGGAACAGTGAGCAGAGGCTAATCTTCATTTGCATTTGACTCCTCTCCACTGTAATATAGATTTCACATGTAAAAAATCAATACAAGGACAGATACTGTTAAAGTGAGCTTTTTATGGATTTTCGCATGCTTCATCTTTCAAAAAAAGACAGTGTGCAGTAGGAACAAACCGGACTTTGAACTGAACAAAAAAACAAATCCTTAAGTCATTTGTTTTCAATATATTGGGCTGTCACACAGTTTGAAAATGTGGGAAAGACGATATTAAACTAGGATTGGACTGATCAGCAATTATTTTGCGTGATTTAAAAAATAGTGAGAGGTTTAGTGGCAAAATGATGAGTCATTTATTTATTTCATTATTGATAACAATCGTAACAACCGATTAATCCCTTTAAACATTAATCAAGGAAAAAAATAGCAAACTGGTTTCAGCTTCTCTTATGAGAGGATTTCATGTTTTTGTGTAAACTATATATCTTTAAATTTGGGGATTTTTGGATGCAGAAAACATGCTATTTAAATCATCACTTTTGTGATGGGAACTTTTCACGGCTAAAAATACTAAAAGATGAAATGCTAATTATTAGTTGTTATGCAGTAGTTGCAGAGGGTTCCTTAAAACAAAACAATGAGTACTTTACAGATTAAATTTGATTCAATTGTGTTGAAGACATTGTAGGTTATCCCTGTTGACCTTTGGCACAGTGGTGAGTGGGGGAAGAAAACCAGATGGGAAAGGCACGGAGCGAGACAGGGATGAAGAGAGAAGGAGGTAATCTGAATTGTTGGAAAAGAAAGAGACGATGAGGGTGAGAAAGCTGAACGAATGGCTTAAAGGAAGAAAAGGAGAGGAGAGGAGAGGTGATCTGTGGCTGTAATCTGGCTGAGCAGAGCCAGCGGAGAAGGGGATAGAGGTTTTTCTGAAAGCCAGCAGGAGGAGGGATTCTGCTTGGCGTGTGTTCATGCTGCATCACCTAATGTTTTGCTTCCACAAAATTAAATTCACAAGATGCATCTTCAGAAAGTTCCATAACTTCTCTGGAAAGTTCCCTCTAGATGTTGTTTCTTCATTAAAACAAGTGAAGTTTAACAACAAGAGTAACATCCAAAGTAGGTAAACAAAGTACATTAAAGAGATGTGAAGATGTTTAAAAAAGGAGAACAAGAAAGAGACAAACAAAGAGGCTGACAGACTGAAACATACAGTAGGAGAGATGAGGGGGGTTAGTGCTTCAGAAAGCAAGGTCTACGAAATCCCTCCAGATGAGAAGAGACAACACCAAAAGAAAACAGATGGAGAGCCAGCTAAATAAGCAGATCTTGAACCTGCAGCTCACAACACTGGAAACATATGACGCCACGTGAAACAGGGTCAGCTTGATTGTTCTTTATGGCCTCCCCTACCCCCACTAAACCAATGAATCAGTTCTCAAGCAACCAATCAATCACCTAAACTGTCCCCGGAGGCATCTTATTGACTGGAAAGCATACAGCTTTTTGTAGGGCAGCTGTATTTCCTGGACCTGGTACAAGAGATGATGTTATGTTGTCTTGTGACTGATCCGTGAAGTGCTACTCTTTCCTACCAGAAGGATCGTCAGTCCAGATACTGCGGTTTGCAGTCTGTTTCTATGTACAATCACAGCCCTGTTTGGGCTTTGGTTTGTGTGTGTATTCTGACGATGGGATGTTTTGTGACATTGTAACTACTACTGAAGACACAATTAATTAGCAGTTAACCAATACACAACTTTGCCCCGGATTTTCCACTCACAAACTGTTGAGTCGGTGGAACAAAATCCTCAGATCTGAGGCAGATCTGCATTGGCTCAGCGCTCACAAATCAGCACTGGAGCGCTATGTGTGAACTCTTAGAAGGCCCGTGCCGAGAGGCTCGACGATTCCCCGCAGATGCACCCCTGATATCTAACAGGCTAAATATCTGGACCTGTCGGGATTATGTTGGGGAGCTCCACAGCCAATGAGAGAGCAAGACATGGGTTGAGGGAAAACCTGGGGGAGGGGTTGTCTCTAACAATAGGAACTATATTGTTTGTGTTATATTTGTAACAGGGTCCAAAATTGTTGTTGCATTTAGAGGAAACAGGCTATGAATAGTACATATATGAGGAAACAAGCTATTTTGTGAACTCTTGTGCCTATGACAACTTTAACAAGCATGACTACAAGGTTCCGCAGATTCTTTGAACAAAAAATCATGACATAACATAGTTTGGAGACCAGATATACTACAGGGAGTCCTTCTGGTTAACGATCCTGTAGTGTCACTGGTTGTGCAGTGTGAAAAACACAAGGAAAAAAAAACAATTACAAGACAGCAAGTCGTGTAATGTGAATCTGAAGACTTTTAAAGTTGTGTGGTGTGAATTTGGCTTGAAGGCACCTTGAGGTGAGATTGTTTTGCCTATTTTGGTTTCCAAGGTCAAGAATGAACTTTGAAACTCAACTTTTAAGTCCTTAAAATGTTCAGAAAAATGTAATTTGAACATCTGCATTAGCATAACAACTGGACATGAGAAGCCCATTTCTAATTTCTCTTATCCAAGCTCAGGGTTGCAGGGTGCTTCCAGCTCCATGGGCCTGTTTACAAAAGCTAGCAGGCCAGACTCAGTGGGTCTGAAGTTTGGTGTGATGTTTAATATTGCCAGTTGAGATAGTTAAAGTTGTTGAGCTGCTGCTGCTGGAAGTTTTAGCAATTGTATTACTGCACTGCTGGTTTTCATGTGGCAGAGGTGCCAATGATGCTGGTAAAGATGATGACAGTTGTTTCATTGCTGGTGATGGCGATAACAATTGCCATCTTTGATGCATTATGGCACAGTAGTTCCAAGTTAAGAAAAATAAAAAAACAGGGGTGTCAACGAGCAGTATAACTGCAATATAACCAATCCACCTAATCCACTCTACAGCACACACAAACTAACTTGGATAACAAAAGTGCTGAGTTGGGGAAATGTCCAAAATGTCCAAAACAATATGAGGATGCAACATCTTCTTCCATGTTTTTAGTGTGTGAACTACACCTTATTGGGTAAATCTAATGGAGTTTTAAATAATTAAGGTAAAAGAATCAAACCAGACTCCAGAAGAGAATTTAACCACTAAACTAAACCAGTAATATGTCAATCGCAACATTTTTTCAATTGAACTGTTTTCAATTGAAACTGATGGAATGAGGAGATGACACGCCTTCAAAAAAAAATGGTATCAATCAAAGAAAGTCTTGGTTATTTTCCGACATTGTAATTTCTGATGAATTTATATTCAGGCAGTTGACTTAAAAGAAAATAAATATTTTACAGTATTTGCTCAAACAATGTACAATTGTTTGATGTGGTACACTGGTTTTGTGTGTCGTTCCTGAAAAGAGTTTTCCATAGAGTTGCTGCTCTTACCTTGGTGGGAATGCGTGCCGTCAAGAGGTAAGCTCGGTGAGACGCTAGGGCCTGAAAGAGAGAGAAAGAACAGAGAGAGAATAATGAGTGTGTAGCTGTAAATATACACTCTGACCAACAAGAACAAGGAAATGACAAAGAGCACAGAGAGCTCGCCTGTTGACTCACTCAGATGAAAAGGCTCGTGACTCTAAAACATCTCAGTCAGTGTGGAAAGAAAGAAAAAAACCCGACAATGAGGAGAAAGATTCCTCTCTACTCGAAAACAAACACATAAACAGACAACGACATTTACGGTCTGCTGAGTGAGCCCATTGTCAGTCGGTGTGTTTTTCTTATTTTGCGTCCTTTCTGCCTGCTGAGCAGCCTGGACACCAACTTGCTACTCTTAATCAGAGCACACGTTGCTGCTCTGTGAAGGAAAAGTCAAGGCGGCTTGAAGAGGCAGAACTGGAATGCATGAACTTGACATTCCTATCCAGACGAGCAGTCTCATTATTCTGGTTTAATGAGATGGTTGCCATTGAATGTGATCCCTATGTAGATATGAAGGGCTCACTCTAAGCTCATGAAAACATAATTGTAATGATAGCAGCTCTACAGAGGGCTGCCTTTACCTTCATGTGTCATGACTGTCTAATACAAAATGAAAACACCCTGGTTGGTCAGCAAATACCATGTGCCTTCATCATCATAGCTGAAACCTCTTGAATCTCGAAGCAAGTCATCTTCATTCGCTTTCCTTTTAACTCTGCACTGACATGCATGCTGGAGTAAAACTGCAATGGCACAAACTGCCCTTCACCGTACGGCTCTGAAGATAAGAAACTTAGGCCTTTTGGTTTTCAATGCTACAACCTAACAACTAAGGGTAACGGCCTCAAAGGAAGATAGAATACCTGTGGATGAAACAGGGAACATGAGGATATAATGGAGAAAGAAAAAAAAGCTGGTTTAGAGTAGATGAGAAATGCAAAAAGAAGCTTGAAAGGAAATGAGAAACGGCAGTAGAGACACGTGCGAGCGAGAGAAGGTTAAAAAAGCAGGAGAGAAAATATAAGACGTGCAGAGGGGAGCCAGGCATTACAAACAAGTCCTTGATAAACAATGACTGGTATGAAAGAAGAAAAAGAGGTGAAGAGAGAAAACAAGATGAAGGAAAGTCTTTAACCTGCCACAATCTTTTTGAAACAACCTGAAAAATGAAAAAGGATGACAGTGTGTCCTAGCCCTCTGTGGCTCAGCTCCACAGGCAGGGTCTGTGTGGTTTGATGTGATGGAGGCGGACAGGCAGGACGGTGTGACCGAAGATAACCTCTCCTAAAGAGCACCAGTCACCACTGCTACGATCAACTCTCCCTGTTCTGTACCGCAGCTCTCGTTCACGTACTATGTGCGTGCAGATATGCTGGTGATGGAATCGCCTAGTTTCAAAGATAACTACATGACGAAGGTCTCATTTTGATAGGTTTGGACATTATTTTGGACCTATGCTAGAGACTTAAAAGTCAGGATATCTCGACCTCTGGTGCACAGATTTTGACCATTTGAGTTGTCTTAATGTAGGTGCAATAACAAATCACTGGAGTGGCCCGTTAAAGCAGTATTATAATCCGGCTCCCCATTCATTTGTCAGATGTCTTTTTAGCAATGTTGCTCTGTTACCAGCTTTCACTTTGGTGAAAACAATGTTATCATAATAGATAGAAACTATTGTCAAACCTTTGAAAGTAAGGTGTAATAAACAAGAATCATCCAGCAATCATATTTTATACTGTAGTATTGTATCGAGAACAGTGGTCAGTAAGTATGTAGGATGGAGTTCTGTAGTCTGAATGACCTCAGAAGTTGTGGGAATAAGAGTTTGGCTGCATAGCTTTGAAGTTGGGTGACATAAAAAGGTCTTCGGCTGTGTGACCCTATACACCTTTCTCCTTTTTATTTGCCATAGAGGGAAGCCTTGCCTGTGTGTGTCTGACGGCATAAAGTTGTGGTTTTAGTTCTTAACAATATGTTTGGTAAAAAACACCACATCAGTTGGTTTCCAGTAGCTGAATAGCTTCAGCTGCAGTCCAAAGCAGTAATGGCCAAGAACCTGCTGACTCTGAGGGGAGGGGGAGGTACCAACTGACCAACTGAGCTTCATGGTTTCTGTACGGTCTAGAGAGGGAAGTAAATCAATTAATACGTAGATAATCAACCAATGCATTAAAGGACACTTGTATCATTGTATCACTGGCTAAACTAGTTTGTTGCACTTTATAACTTGTTCAAGCTGTTTTTCATCCTCCCATCCTCCTGCTGTCAATGCATGCCCCCCCCCCCCCCCCACCCCTGCACTCTGTGAGTGGACAAAGCCATGACACGCCCCTGTGTCATAACTCTCTCTCTCTCTCTCAAGTAAACTTAAAGCCTTGAGCCTTCCCATTAGCCAATGATTTCACAGCGACCACCAACCCGCTTCAGCTCTACTCAGCCAACCAGATGGCAGCAGCATTGGAGCATGTCTACAAGACCAGAGAGAGCATCTGCTATTCTCTCTCTCTCTCTCTCTCTGTATCTATCACACACACACACACACACACACACACACACACCACTGTGCAGTCCATTATTATAGTACCATTCCCAGATTATATTTTTTCCTGTCAAACTGTAAACCCCACCTGCCTCCCTCCAATTGACCCAACTCACATGTGCACACTCACACATTGCGTTACTATGGCAACAGCTAGCCCATACTGCACACACACACACACACACACACACACACACTGATAGACACTCACTCACACATGAAAGAAGCACGCTACAGTGCCAAGCCTTGCTTGAGAATGTCAATGAGTTTTCACTGCCCTAAACAACATTCACGCTGGTTTACAGTCATGCTGAATCTCTGTAGGAACCGAAGCAACACAGAGAAGTGTTTCATCTGCAGTCATTCAGCTGTGGCAGCACTCAGCCACAGGAAACCTACCCCCACCAAAGATGCTGTTATTCATCCATCATGTCTCGGGGTGCATTCGCACTTCATTATGTCTATCCATGACACTGTTTCACATGTATTTGTTTGGGTGAGAAACAAACATCATCAGAAATGCGAGATACAAATGATTCCAAAGTTTGACCACCCCTGAGGTATGCTTGTTTTATCTTGTTGGTAATTCAACAATTAATAAACAATATATTTGCCAGATGAATCAGGTATTCCCCTTCATTCTGCTTGTGTACTTGCAACCTCTGTGGTTGGTTTGACATTGTGAAACATACAATTTTCTAACTGATAGATAGACAGGAAGAATAATATCCCCCTCATATCTGTCAGTCAAATGTGAAGCAGCAGCAGCAGCAGCAGCAGCTAAAGAATGGAAACAGAGAGCCTGGCTCTGTCCACAGGTAACCCAATCCACCAATGAGCACCTCTAAAGCGCACTAAAGAACACATCATCTGTTTAACCAGTACAAAAACTAAACTGTGCATGACAAATTGCACTTTAATGGAGGTGAAGGAAAAGACAGACATGGGAGTGAGATACATCTTCTCGTCTAATTCTCGGCAAGAGAGCTGATAAGCAGTGCTCCCAAAATGACCACCTATTCCTTTAAAATCAAAAAAGTTGCAGCTTGAATAAGTACAAAAATGATAAGATTTGTTAATTATACAATTGGTGAGTTATTGATTAATCACTTGGATCTTGGTGGACATTTCAAAACCAAAAAATTTAAAATAGATTTATTCTTTAGGAACTTAATCAGCTGTTGACTCATGAACACAAATAGCAAAGTGGAAAAAGCAACCCAGCCACAATTCCATTCATCCCCACACCGCTGCTGACACACACTCTTTATTGCATAACTAATCCCAGTATGTCCTGCATGTGTGTGTGTGTGTGTGTGTGTGCAACATTAACGAGTCATGATATGCTGGCTGCAAACTAAAAATGTCAACGCAGCACTGTATTGTGAGAGTAGTTTTAGGGATCTGCAGAAAAAGAGACAGAGAGAAATAGAATGAGAGATAGAGACAGAGAGAGAGAGAGAGATCGGCCATTGAGACAAGAAAAGTGGACACCAGAGAGACGGAGCGTGAGTCAGTGAGAGAAGGAGAGGCGGTTGAAGGGCAAAGTGAAATGACTTAATAGATTCTAAGTGCTGTTTTGCTGATAAGGAGCCAAGATTTAAATCAAATCAGAGGGGAAGATATTTAATGAAGGGAAGTGTTTAAAAGCCGTTTCATCTCTGATAAAACCAATGGATGACCCCATTTTAGCTTTTAATGCACTTAAAATCAATCAGCTCAACATTTGTCCGATGCAGTGCATTTCTCTCCTCCTCTTACCCGGCATATCTCTGCTTTTCCCTCCCACCGCTTAATCTCTAAATGTCCTCATCCTTCTTGGCTCTAATGCTGTATTTTTAACAATTGCCTAAAAGCATACTTACACTACATGATGACAGAAGGTTCCAAATGCTAAAAAAGGACCACGATGCTCTATTTTAATGTCTGTATGAGACTGTATGTTGAGGATTGTATGACCAATAGAGGATAATCGAACCATCAGTGCACAGAAAAATCCATTCTGTGAAAGAAGAAAAATGCTCAGTGGCTGTTTTTTTTCTTCCCCTCCATTCTTGCTCTCTCCGTCTTCCTTATCTCAAATTGGATGCCAGGTGGACTGCACCATGAAGAAATGCATTCTGTACATGAGGTACAGTCATCACACAACATACTAACAGATTGTAAAATGTAACCTGAAATATTTCTCTCTATAATTTCATTCTCGTAGTGTTTCCTACCGTACCGTCTTTCTGTTCTCTTCTAGTATATACAGTACATACTCTATGGATATATGCATATGTTGCATGGGCTTGTATGTGTGGGTGAATGTATTCAAAAGATGAGGCCTGTGTATATCTGGAGACAAAGGAGCAGAAGAAACACCCACCCACACACACACACACACACACACACACACAGTCCCGCTTTTATCTTTGAGTAATCAGGGATGGTGTAACTCAGTGTAACAGAAGAGAAAGACTCTCGATACTGC